CAACGGCCATTTGCAATTTAATTAGTTCTCAGTACTCTCACCGGGGCGCTTTGAATCGGCACAGAAAATAGCTGTCATTTTGTTAGGGATAGCCAGTCCAGCGTTTATTATAGAGGTCAGTGATTTTGAATGAGATGACTAAACTGTGATATCACATTTTTATGTCTATAGTTTATCTTTTTAAATTAGATACAAAAATAATGAAAATAATCTTAAAATTAAATCGATTAGGTAATCTTTGAAGCCATAAGTCATGTTTCGGCATGAATGGGACGACTCGAGTGACACCAGGGCTGTCAGAAAATTGGCGACCATATGGAATTCCCAAAACCTTCCCATCCCTCATTGATCCCTAAACCTCAGATTTAAAGTTATTATAATAAATTTACTTGTGGTAAAAAATAATTTTGACTGAGTCAACAGTGAACAGTCTAGTTAACACTCATTAGGTATAGTTATCGATTTGTTAAACACTTCTAATTAAACCACTAAACGTCTAAACGAACAAACAATCATAAAAGTTAACAGCCTTCAAAAACCCAACCTGATCTATCCAAACACAATCAAAATGAGCCTTTTATCAATATTTATCAACGTACTTAAAACTTCACCATGTAATGACGGGAAAATACACTTCTAACCTACTCTCCTTGATAGAATCCTAAGAACAGACCAAAGGACTTCACAATTCAGTTTTTTTATGTAATAGTTCGGTAAACGAGCAGTCGGATTACCTGGCGGTAAGCAATCAGCGCCGCCCATGGACACTCGTTGCAAAAGGAGTTACTACAATCAGCGTTGCCGGCCACTTTTGAGTTATAATAAGGCATTTACAGATAGCGGATTTGAGGATTGATTGGGCCTCCGGTATCCTCACCCACACGGCGAAATACAACGTTAGTGTGGCTTCACGGCGATTTACTGTAAGGCCATGGTATTACTCCGATCGAGCGGAACCATTCGTGCCGAAGCATAGCTCTCCCACAGTTCTTTAATTACAGCGTCTTTTACACACTATTTGGATGGTCAGACGACCATAATATCTTCTGTTATAATCTCCAGGTTTGCCAAGTTAACATCATAAGCCTATTAATAAATAAGTACTTAAATATGTTGCGGGACAAGCGCAATAAGGTACCGCGGCCTCCGCTTGGAGAAGGAGAAGAAACGGGAAAGTTTTTAAGTCAGTGAGAGTCTGACACTCCCTCTCGCCTTGCCCTGGTCGAGAAAAGCGAATTGATAATTTTTATTCACCAAAAATAACTATAAATGTTCTGAGCAAATACCACTTCTCACACGGAGAAGGTTTCAGCATTAATCAAGTTGAGTAGTCTTGTTCAAGGCGGATTTGAAAAGCAAGCATTATAATTATAAGTTTAGGTTTCTTTACGATGTTTTCTTTACCGTTTGCCATTGGTGTCAACTCTGAAAAAGTCGCATTGATATGTTACGAGTTTTGAAACTGCATCCTTTAAACTCAAAATTAGTAAACAACAATGTAAGTTGGCGTAACCATCCTTATTTTAAACTAATTCCAGCAAAATATTTTCGCTCCTATGACTGATTTTTTTTTTAATGTACAAGGGACAAGCCCGCTACTTTTGTCCAAATCTACAGTATATATATCTATATATAATATCCATGAAAACACCAAAACACTGAAGTCCGGCGCGTCCTAGAGACATGAATGACTGTCTTGGATCCCACAACGAAATAAATCAGAAGATATTATTTGAGGAAAAAACTAAATAGTTTCTACAGAAATTGCCATAGTATTACCTAATATCGAATTTAAAAAAAACGAATACTAAACAGAGAATGTTAAATTGGAGAATGACCGTGTCTTAATTTAAAAACAACTAGCTCTTACCCGCGGCGCCGCTCTCGTTATTTGAGTACCTACCCTACTCTACCTACCCTACCTACCCTACTCTACCTATCCTACTCTACCTAACCTACTCTACCTACCCTATTCTACCTAACCTACACAACCTACTATATCCTATGTCCTTCTCCTGGCTCCAAACTACCTCCCTGCCAATTTTTAGCTAAATCGGTTCAGCCGTTCTTGAGTTATAGGTGGAGTAACTAACACGACTTTCTTTTATATAGTATATATAGATTTGAAACTTCATTGACAAAGCTCAATCAGTGTGTAACTCAAATACGCATGTACATGTATGTATGTATGTTTAGCAGGGCGCCCTATACAAACACCAAACAGATATACAGATTATACGTACATCTAGAGATAGGTAACCCCATCGTTTGCCGCGCCCTCATAGTGTTGGGCGCGTTAGATTACATGTCGATAAATTCTATGATAGTTTTCAAGTGTTCATAAAAATGTTTCAAGTTAGTTAACAGCTAATAATTGCGTCGATAAACTTTCTAATTTGTTATTTATTTCATTTTATGAGTATATTGTTTACATAACGTTTATTTTTCATACCATTGAGTTACTAATTATAATGGAAACGGAGTCTGAATATTAAAATGTAGGTATTTACTTTTTAAAAGCATTCAATTCTAGAAGAAACTCTTAGTGTAAGGGACCTTAAAGTTTATCCACTAGTAAAAAAAAAACAAAAAAATTAATATAATACGGTCTAATTTATCACTTCACTATACGGTGAAGGAAACATCGTGAGGAAACCTTGACTTTTCTAATTAGGTAGGTATAAGTTTAAAATCGCCAACCCGCATTGAGCAAGCGTGGTTATTAATGCTCAAACCTTCTCCGTGTGAGAAAAGGCCTTTGCTCAGCAGTGGGCACTTATAGGCTGATGATGACGATAATTGTTTTTTTTTAATTATCGTCAATCATGTGGTCTGTTGTGTACCTATTTACTGCCGGTAAGTTCGAATTAACCAATCATTTTGTTTACGTAACAATATTTTCATTATAATTACCAAATGGATAAAATACTAATAATACTAATAATAATAATTCACTTCGAAATATCAAGAACTTTTTATGGAAAACGTAATAACAGTTGCCCAAATTATTATAGCTCTCAATTAACGAGTGTTGACGGTAAGAAAAAGAAAATATCGAGTAATATCGACATCGAAAAACATCGATACTTAACCACATCACTAACAAAGGTTGATTCCAACGGGTTTGTGTCAAGGTGATGACCGGCCGTTCTGACGACCCCTCCGCAGTATACACAACTATAATATATACATCTATAGACATCTATACAATACTCCACATTGAACAAAATACTTTTACTTTTGACCATAATCGAGTGAAGAAAGAATATTCAAGTGTGGGAGAGCCATGCTTCGGTACGAATACCGATTCGGAAAACCGGCGTACAACAACCACAGCGTTGTGTTTCGCCGTGTGAGTGAGGTTACCGGAGGCCCAATCCTTCCCTTACCCCAATCCCTTCCCAATCACTAAATCCCCAAAATCCTAATCCTTAAAAGGTCGGCAACGCACTCGTAACTCCTTCTTTGCTGCGGGTGTCCATGGGCGACGCCGATTGCTTACCATCAGGTAATCCGTCTGCTCGTTTGCCGTCCTATGACATAAAAAAAAGTAACTCCGTCGCGGGTGTCCATGGGCGGTGGCTATTGCTTAGCATCAGGAAACCGTCTGTTCAACGGCCGAAAAAAATTTCGTACTTAAATAAAATTTGAACATGTATTTTTTTTATATTTTTGACCACGATACACTTACTCGTTTGTTGTAAAAGGCTGTATGAGCGAATTTTCATTTACGTTTATCTTTATAACTAAATATTGGTGTAATTTTATTACGGTTTTCATTAATAGGTTTCAACCGAAATGTTTTAAGGTTGATCTAATCAGAGAGTGCTGCAGTAAACTTTTTTTGTACAATGAAATGTTTAATTATTTATAGAGTTTTTCCTTTATGTTAATATTTAATGATTACTAAATTATTTTCTCTGCATCAAATTAGAGTTAATTAAAGAACTTACACAACAACACACCTTTGTAGAGTTTTTTAAAAACATAAGGAATGAATGCAAAGACTACTTCTTACAAGGAAGGTTTAATATATCGCCACGCTTTCACAAGGCGGATTGGCGAATTCAAACTTATATGTATCTAGCTTCCGCCCGCGGCTTTGCCAGCGTGGTATGCCTATATGATAATCCACGGTATCACCTATTTACATACCAAACTTTAACCAAAATGTCTGTTCTTGATTGAAAGAACAACAAACATACATACATCCATACATTACCGCAAACTTTCACATGTCAACTTTCACATTTCAGGACTTCTAATATTTGTAGGATTAGAAGTCCTGATTTTTTCACCGTATGTCAAGTCAGTGATGTCAAAATACATTATACATACATTGAAACTAGCTAAGTTTTGAAACCGCACCCTTATGCATAAGAAGCGCTCGCTTCTCGCCTTAACCCTTCGCGCCAGTAGACAGTAACATATCCATTTTAATTCCAAGTGAAACCGCCAAACAAATGACAGTTGTGAAATAATGTAGACACACAACTATGACTCATGCCGTACCTAATCCCCTTTTGAAATTTAACAAAAGCCCGACCCTACATAGATTGCTTCGGATTAACTTTTCTATACATACATATTGTGCTATAGATGTAACCACGCCTTTGATTAAGTGTCTCTATTTAAGGACTAGCTACTCCCGCGCGGTTTCACCCGCTGGTCAGCTCCATTTGATTGTAGCGTGTTGTTTTATAGCCTATAACACTCAGGAACATTGTAGCTATCTATCAGTGAAAGAATTTTCGCAATCCGACCAGCGGTTCCAAAGATTAGTCGCTACATACGAACTTACAAATTTTGCCTCTTTATAATATTAGTATAGATATAGATTGTATTTGACATAAAACGAGCAGACGGATCGCCAAATGGAAAACGATCGAATGGGTGGACCGAGTGGGAGTGTCAGAATCTTACTGACGGAACACCATCCGGTTCCTTCTCCTGCTCTTAGCTAGGGCCGCAATATTTTATAGCGCTTGTAACGGCAACCCCTACTGCGATATCGGACCTAGATCACCATTGATGGGACTCATCTGTAGTGATCTGATGGCTGGCACCGTCGATCGCTTTCTTGAGAACATAGCGGTACTCAGCTCAAGCAAAATGTACACCAATACCATGTGCTCTACCGTTTCGTTTAGGAAGTCAGTGATGATACCCGCGCGTTTCCTTCCGCTAGTTCCGAAATAGGTTTTTTTATGTGATAGCATGGTTAACGAGCATACGGATTATCTGATGGTAAGCAATCAACGCCGCCCATGGACGCACGGAATGCACCAACAGAAGAGTCATGGTATTAGGGATTTGGAGATTTTGGTATTCGGTAGGGATTAAGGGATGGGAACGATTGAGCCTCCGGTAACATCACTCACACTGCGAAAAACAACGCTGTGATATTTTCACGTCGATTTAAGCACCACCGAGCCATCACATTTTGCGACTATTTGACAAATACCGCTGAATATAAGCTTTTATATCATTAAGAATCCCTTGATCCTTACGCGTAGCAAATTGCTACGGCGTAACCGATGCGTAGGTGCCCTCTACAGAACCGGGCTACGTCGTAGCAAGTGTTAAAGGAAAATGGTTTTCAATTGATATTATTATTTGTTTCTCAATTGATATTATTAAGTATTTGTTTGGAACTTTGTACTTAAGTATGTTTGTTACTCAACAACGCAAAAACTTCTAAACGAATCTGAATGAAATTTGATTGTTTCGTGAGGTGTTCCGCGACACGTTACATATTATTATAAGCTGGTTGCTTAGTCACCCCATCAAACATTAAGACATTTTTATGTGATAGTTTGGCAATGAGCAGACTGAACTACCTGATGGTAAGCAATCACCGCCCATGGAGGGCGCCCAAAAACGAAGGACGTTGCCGACCTTTTGGGGATTAGGGTTTTGGAGATTTGGGGATTGGGGGAGGGGAGGCAAAATAATTCTAATGCTTACCTGATTCGTCCTCCGTCCCCTCGATCGTGTCTTCTGTCGCTGATGACTGATATGGAAGTCTCTCCAATTTCGTGTTTCTTCTTGTGTTTCTTTGATTTGTGTTTACTGTGGACAATATCTTCATGTTAATTTCAGGTTTATTGTTCGCTTAGGGTATTATAATACCGTTAATTTTTAATACTTTTCTACATAGAATGGTACAAAATAAAAAAAGTATGAAGTATGATACGCTAATCAGATAAAAATCATGTGATTGGAGACTTTGATTACAGAATTCCCAGTTTAAAGCAAATGTATGTAAGCTACTTGCCACACACAAAGACACTTTTATCCCTTTCATATGGATAATCATCATCAGCCTATAAGTGCCCACTGCTGAGTAAAGACCTCTTCATTTGGAGAAGGTTAGAGCATTAATCACCACGCTTGCTCAATGCGGATTGGTGATTTCAAACTTATAATAAGAAATTATAAGTCCAGGTTCCCTCACGATGTTTACCTTCACCGTATGTCTAGAAAGTACATATAACTAAAAAGTCACATTGGTACTTGCCAGGTTTGAAACCCACACCCACCCTCATGCATGAGAAGCAGGCTCCTTAACCACTTCACAGTCATTTACTGTAGGATTTTCGCATAACTTTCCGCTAAACGTAGCAAAATTTTCCAATGATCTTTCGGCAGCGATATTTCTGAACCGATACGATCATCAAATCATCATCATCATCAGCCTATTGTCGTCCACTGCTGGACATAGGCCTCCCCAATTCCACGCCACTGAGCTCGATGTTCAGCTCTTCTCATCCAACTACTGCCAGCCACCCTGCGGATGTCGTCAGTCCACCTAGCTGGAGGGCGCCCTACACTACGTTTGCCTAGACGTGGTCTCCACTCACGACCATCAAATCTTCAAGAAAAGAGTATACTCCTTCTTATAATGTTGATTAAAAGCCTGTGCATCGCTGATCACCTACCATCAGGTGATCCGTCTGTCTCTTAAGCCTTGGAGGCTGGCTCTACTGTGTGTATAACTTAAGGTATGGTAAAATTCGTATCAAGACGATACTCGGGAGTTATTTCTCTCTCCTTCCTTCTCTCTCCAACTTACCTATGTTTCTTCTCCTTCTCCTTCTTATCAGTACTCCTATGTTTTGTCTTCTTCCTGTACACGGAGCCACCATTCCCCTCATCAACCGTTTCCAAGTGCAAGACATACAATCTATATATCTGTAGCAATATTACCTGTGAGAGAAACACGTTATATAAGCGTGGAAGAACAATGGTTCGGCACGAATGGGTCGGCTCGACCGGAATGATGGAATGGCCTCACAGAAAACTGGCATGAAATAATCAGAGCGTTGGTGTTTTACCATGTGAGCGAAGTTACGTATTTAGGGTAAGTAAAATCTATCAAATGACTTCTCCCACCGAAGACCAAGGAAGTTTCTTAAAGAAATCCTTTAACCGAAGACCAAAGTCCTTTAGTTTTTTTTGCTGTCATTGTTGTAACGAAGAAGATGCTTTAAGAGAGGATTTGCCACCTTGCTTAGCTAATTAGTTTAAAAGGTCCAGGTTTATTAGAGAACGCTTTTTTTTTTTGTGAGGGGAAAATCAGCAAATGACTTCTCCCGCCCAGGGCCGGGCAGGAGGGAGTGTCAGACTCTTACTGACTAAAAACCCCCCTGTTCCTTCTCCTGCTCTGTGCCGAGGTCGCGGTGCCTCATTGTATTAGAGAACGCTGCTGTCCTCTCTTTGTCAAATATGAAGTCCTTTTTTTTTAAGGTTGGAAGATTATCTTATCACATCTTCCGCTGTCAATGTGGCGAAAAGATCTGAGACTCTTACTGACTTAATACCAACCCGTTCCTTCTCCTTTTCCGTTGTGGAGTCGCGGTAGATTATTGCATTTACACCAACAGAAATGATGCTAGTTTGAAGTTAGGAAGGGGTTCCTTCCTAACTTCAAACTAACATCATCATCAGCCATAAGACAGCCACTGCTGAACATAGGCCTCCCCCATTGACTTCCAGATAGGCTGGTTGGAAGCGACCTGCATATCCAGCGGCTTCCTGCGACCTTAATCAGGTCGTCTGTCCACCTTGCGGGTGGACGTCGCTGCGCTTGCCGGTACGTCGCCTCCACTCGAGAACCTTTCTGCCCCAGCGGCCGTCGGTGCTACGCGCCATATGCCCTGCCCATTGCCACTTCAACTTACTAATCCGCTGGGCTATGTCGGAAACCTTTGTTCGTTTGCGGACATCCTCGTTTTTTATTCGGTCTCGCAAAGATATTCCGAGCATAGCCCTTCCCATAGCGCGCTGAGCGACCTTGAGCTTCTTTATAACTCCAAACCGAAATCCCTTAATCCCAAAAGATTGATACCGGACTCGCAAATCCCCTGAAGTGTTAGAGTGTCCATGGGCGGTACTGATTGCTTACCATCAGGCTATCTGCTGGTTTTCCACTCAATCCTATTGAAAATGTCAAAAATCACTTACCAAAGTGTTCTTACATGTGAAGAAGATGTTCATATAGTTAATGATTTTGTAGTGGCATATGATGAGAAGTCTGAACGCCAAAAATGGCGCATCCTGAAGCGCAATATTCATTATGATTGCGCAAACTTCTATAGAACAGCAGCAAGCACGACTGTTTCTGTTTTTGGAAAAAAAAAAACGTAAAAAGATTAAAAAGAAAGAATTTTAATTTTTTGTTGGTTGTTTTCAATTGAGGATATTAAGCAGTTGTGTTTGCGGTGGAAGTTTATGCTGAGTGGTATCATAGATTGTGTTTTTGTGAGACTTGCTAAGCATGATAAGAGGTTTTCTTTTTTCATTTTGAAGGTAATGAGTTATGCTTGAATTTTAGTCCGTTAATCCATAGGTTGCTGGTCTAAATCCGGCTCAATGGACAATTTAATGTACTGTACAGATTACTAGTTTAATTGCACACTTTTTTTCGTTATTGTTAGTTAAATTTAGAGCGTTTCCTAGAAGAATACTGGTTGTGTAGTATCCTAAAGTAAGTATAATCACTACAAAGTCGCTTTCTCTGTCCATATATCCCTATGTATACCCAAATCGTTAAAATTATGCAACAATTGGTGATTTTGATGCAGTTTTTTTTAAGAAGGGTCCACTTAAACTGGTGTGGTTCTGAAGACAGACACGCAAGTGTCAGTTTGAACTCAGTTTAGCTAACGAGTGCTACTGAGTATTGTTGAACTTCAATTTAATAGTGGATTTTTTTTTGCATGGCGCCTGTGCTAACACATTTTGGGTCGCTATTTAGAGAATAAAACAAAGAATATATGTGCGTTTTATCAAAAATAGGTATTTTATAACCATTTAGATATTGGAATTATGGACATTGTGATTGTTTTGTTCTGTCGCTAGTTTATTATTATTTATTACACTTTTATAATTGTTGGTGATTCATACTAGTAACTTTGTTTGAAGTGTTATTAGTTGCACACTGAGTAAAATTGTTATATTAGTTTGATTTGATCTGATAACACACAGAGATATAACTGTTGGAATTGGTCAAGCTGTGTGAGTATTCATCACAAAACTTGCTCAAGGCGGATTGACGATTTCAAATTTGTAATTAGAAATTATAAGTCTAGGTTTCCTCAAAATGTTTTCCTTCATCGTATGTTACTACACTTGGTAAGTAAATGTAACTCGGAAAAAGTCACATTGGATACAATTCGTTACGTTACATCGCTTCATAAAATCGTGCAGTGTGTGTAATATGAAAAAAAAACAAAAGAAAAAGATGTTGTCAAATATATAAGTACCTAATATAAAATATTTATTATCATGTAAAGTATATATTGTTATAATAATATCGGTTTGCAATGGGAAAAGAGGTTTTTTTGTTTAGATATTAAATAAACTTTTTCGTAACTCCAAAACGACTATACGGATTTTGATGAGTCTTATTTAACAGGATACATCCCTGCCCCGATTAGTACCTAAGATATAATAATACGGTAGTTTCCAACTAGTCAAAAACAATACTTTTCTATGAAATTTGTATGAAAAACTGAGTTATGACGTCACAGTATTTTTGCGTAAATAGCTTACTTATTTCTTAAAAATTAGCTAAAAAATATCTAAAATTTAGTGTATCGAATCGATCGATCGATGAATAAAAGTCTAGTTATTTTTCAATATTTTATTGTATTGAAACGTCGAATTAATTTATTTTTGACCTAGGAAACTACCCATTTAAAAAAACACGTTGACGTGAGTCAATATCGGAATATGTGCTTGGATTTCACAAATATGTGTCTAGTCCGAGTGTGGGCACCTCGCTTGGTTAAGAAAAGTACATTTGAAAGGTTTATTTATCTTTATCAAAAAGTTCTCTAACGAGAATCGGAGTACGATTGAAGGTATAAACAATTGCAGTCTGCGATCACTCCACGGCAAACAGTTGTTAGACTCTACACTAGACCTATACTTCGGCACGAATAGGCCGGTTTGACTAGAGCGATACCACTGCCGCACAGAAAACCTTCTTGAAATAACCACAGCGTTGAATTTCACCGTGTGACTTTTTTATAGTATAAGTCGGGAAACGAGCAGACGCATTACCTGATGGTAAACAATCGGCGCCGCCCAACCAACAAAGGTGTTACGAGTGCGTTGCCGGCCTTTTGGACATGGGGGTTGCGGATATAAGGATCGGGAAGGGATAGGGGTATCCGGTAACCTCACTCACACGGCGAAACACAACAATGTGGGCAGTTTCACTCCGGTCGAGCCAACCCATTCGTGCCGAAGCTTGACTCTCCCACACTTAAAAACTGACTGAGGTTACCGGAAGCACAATCTTTCCCGAATCCCTAATCCCCAAAAGGAAACGCACTAAAAACTCTTCTGATATTGCGGCTTTCACTATTCAGGTCCCTCTTATCCTCACGTAAGGTCCGCAAGTTTGCCGTCTTATCACGTAAGTAAACCTCTCTCCCCATTAAACCGACTTATAAAAAAAGTGCTATAAAGTGTTCAGCGAAGCTGGTGCAAGTGTAACACATATTTTACATACATGTCGGACCTATTGGCTGTTCCTCGGGATTTCCTGGACTTAGTTGCTGTCAGGACCACCGTAAACTGCATCAGAGACCACGACCAAATCGCCAGGGTTAATAGTACGAGGACCTTCTCTGTTGCCACCTTCTCATCTTTGAAGGAATCGAAGAACTCGATTATGTCAGCCGCCGTGCCTTTGTGGGAGAAAAAGAAAAAATACGTTAACAGCTTCGTAGAAATTTTTGGGCCAAAATAATCCTCACTGTTAGCTAAAGTTGTTTATAAAACAACTGTATTTCGTGACGAGTTCCTTAAATTCTTCGTCTTCGCCTTGCCTGTGCCTAAATCTCCGAAACTTTAATCCCAAAAAGGTGGCAGCTCCGAAAGCTTACCAGTCAAAAATCAGTTATTTCAATTCAACACTCACAGGCACTTTTGAAAGTCAAAAAAAAAATTAAAGATATAAAGTGTCAGTTTGTCGGTCAGTCCTCTTAGTGAAGCTATTTTGTGAATCAGTATATTGTATCACTATCATATAAAAATAATTAAAATTCTTCCGTTTTCCCTCTATTGCTATTACTAGCAAACATTCCCGAGGGCCCGGCCGGTGAGTTGGCGAGTCTCCACCTGCCATTTTTCGTGTATAAATTACATTATTTCGGCAGCTGTCATAGTCCTTCCATAGTTCCCATCATACCAGTCTATAACAACCCACACCCATAGCCTTATCACTTGCTTGTCTTGCTTCCATGATTCGCAATAGTCCTACACTAACCGGGGACTGTCCTTGGGAGCATTTCCATAGTGCATACAGGGATAGTCGTCGGTTTGTGTCCCATTTCATTTAGATCAAAGTTGTCTAAAGGGCCTCTGCGCAGTTGGCTCCGGCCCCTCGTACGCCTCCCAAATGACCGGTACCCTGTGGTCCCGTGTTTGGTAAAGACATACAATAATAATAAAAGTACTTCAGAGAAAATAACAACTAAAAAACTTACCAATATAAACGAGTAATAATTGACTGAGCTGATCCCTCGTCAGATCACCCTTGGGCAGTAACCAGCGTCCCACAATGAGGGTTAACATTAGGAACTGTTCTATAAGCGTTACCCACATGTCTGTGGGGATCTTCGTGGCGCCAGGTATGGGGAGATCCGTCTGGGAGTCAGAAAAGTAATAGATTAAGTATTTTTTTACATACTTAATACATATCCCTTCCTAAAAATTACTTCTCACAGAACATAAATAAAAAAAACTACCTCTACATAAGTAACGTTGATCGTTTTTTTCTGCAGCCTCAAGTCGACTTTGTGCAGCTCCAGCAGCCATATTGCTGGTACAACCAGACCCAGGTAGATGAACACAGACGGACAAAACCTGGGGACAATATATATATATGAAAAGTATACTAAATTACGTAGGTCGCCTAGAAAGTCTGGGCGAGTCAGGTGTAATTACGAAAAAAAAAAGAAATTAAGTACAATCGAAGAATTCATAATATGACAGTTATTATCAACAAAAACATACAACAGAACAAATCATAATATGACAGTTATTATCGGCCCAGATTTTTTTTCTTATTCTGATCATAGGTCATCATTCTGATTTGCCGATTGTACATTGTACAAGTGACTTTGTTACAAGTTGACTGGACAATCCCTTTACATGAGCTGCTGTTTGCATGTGACCATTAACTCATGACGATACCTGAGTACGTGTGTCGCCTGGAAAGTCACCGCTACCATCAGTTGAGTGGACAATCTCTCTACATGAGCTGCTGTTTACATGTGAACATTAGCTCATTACGATACCTAAGTACGTGTGTCGCCTGGAAAGTCACCGCTACCATCAGTTGAGTGGACAATCTCTCTACATGAGCTGCTGTTTACATGTGAACATTAGCTCATTACGATACCTAAGTACGTGTGTCGCCTGGACAGTCACCGCTACCATCAGTTGACTGGACAATCTCTCTACATGAGCTACTGTTTACATGTGAACATTAGCTCATGACGATACCTAAATACGTGTGTCGCCTGGACAGTCACCGCTACCATCAGTTGACTGGACAATCTCTTTACATGAGCTGCTGTTTACATGTGAACATTAGCTCATGACGATACCTAAGTACGTGTGTCGCCCGGACAGTCACCGCCACCACCAGTTGACTGGACAATCTCTTTACATGAGCTGCTGTTTACATGTGAACATTAGCTCATGACGATACCTAAGTACGTGTGTCGCCTGGACAGTCACCGCTACCATCAGTTGACTGGACAATCTCTTTACATGAGCTGCTGTTTACATGTGAACATTAGTGGCACACTATTGCTACATTAACGTTACAATTATCATGTAGAAATGATTACTATTGCCATTTGTATCGCCTTGTTATTTGCATACTAAGTGATGGCCAAAACGTCGTTAGCAGATAGCTATTAGTCGCGAGGTGTGCCCGGAAACGCGACGGGACCGCGACGGGAACGTGACGGCTGACGGCTAATGTTTCTCGCTAATCAATACCAATGATTGTGCTGTCAAAAATGGCTGGTAAAATTTGTGTTGCTATTTTACTTAAGTTGAAAAAATGAAATTGCATTTTATAAGGACAGGGGAATTGGAGAGTATTAAAAAAAGCGTGTGTTTTCTATATAATCTTGTGTCAACTTTGTCAAGACAAGATTTGGATTATAAGGAAGATATAATTAACACCAGCCCGCTACTGTTTTGCTCAGAAGTCCCAGCACATCGGTGTCAGATATTTGTTTTGTTAGCGAACCGACTCGATATCCAAAGGGTTCATAATTCCGGATTTCGCCCTCTACTATAGCTAAATTTTTTAAATAGCGCAGAGCAGTTGTAGTTATTTCTTTTTGTTTTAAATCATCTTACATTTAAGTAATTTCTTAGGTTAAAAATAAATTATTTTAACTGTTCAATGCAATCAATTAGTATGATAAAAAGTATAAAAACTAAAACCCAACTACGACAAAAACCGACGCTGAAAAAGTATAAAGCAAGATTTTCAGAATACTGAAAGGCTCACACGTTACATTTACCTACCATACCTGCACTTTGATAACGTAAAAGTTAGAACGATAAGTTTAGTTTTTGACATTTAATACAAGTATTGAATTTGACAAGACGGAAACTGCCGGATATTACCATAGTATAATGTCGGTTGGGTATTTAACTAATTATATAAACAACTTCTTTTTCGAATTCTTTGGCTAAGTTTTAGTGTCTTTGCTAAACTGTTTTCACATATCAGAACCGACTAAATGATGTAATAAAGAAATGAGTTGTAAAACTGATTGATAAAGACTACCTAACCATGGAGTTTCTTGCTCGTTCTTCTCCATAGGAATATAATAAAATATATAATAAATAGCTTCACTAGAGGACAGACGGACAGACTGACACGCTTAAAGTTAAACCTCTGAAATACTTTTTTCCTTGCTTGACGTTCAAAAGTGCCTACGTCTAAGGTAGAGTGCCTAAGTCAAGGTAATAATATCTACAAGTATTTCAACTTCATAGAAACGGCCGAAACGCGAACTATACCTACGCGCCCGATGTCGGGACGCGCTCGGGACGCAGACAGACGCGGCTGTACCGCAGTGACGAACGGACGGTGTGTTGTCTTCTAATTAGAAATCAGCTCGAGTACATTATTTAATATGACGAATAGGAAATATTGTGCTGTTATTATGTTTGGTTGCATGAATTCGTCAATAACGCATCCAGACATAAGTTTTTTTTAAATTACCTGGAAACTCTGAAAGGTAAGACTATAAAATAATTTTACTTACTAGTAGCCTAGGTAGGTACATAATGTGTGTCTTTATGGATCATTATTTCCAGTTATCTCACGAAAACAGAATATGTTTGAATTTATAAATAATATGAATAAAGTTATTGAGACGAGTGAAATAGGTAGTTATAGGCGGTTCTGGTTCTGAATGAATCATGATACGTTAGGTACCTACCCACTTACGCTTGTGGTAAAACGGTTCATGTATGTTTTGTTAGTTTGTATAATTCAAAGTAGAGAGTATGGTATTTTATTATTAATAATATTTGTTTATTATCTGCATTTATGAATAATACTAGAAAATATTTAATAACAACAATAAAACAGCTAGACTCATGTAATATTTTGATGTTTGAGGGTTGTGATTTTAGAACATTCGTAGTCAGCTGTTCAGTTCGGCATTAGTGGCCAAAGAAATTTTGTTTGTTTATTTTTAAAGCACTTTATTTGTTTGTATAAAAAAAAAGATATTTACAATCACAAAACTAAATGGAAACAGAAAGTAGACAAAGGTAATTCAAATACTGGAGACGAGCAGCCCTAACGCATGTTTACGTACCGCGCGGCTGTAGGTATTTATTTCTTTCAAGCGGCCGAGTTACAATACTGTATGATATTTATACTGTGCCTAAGTGGTCTAAATGAAATAAATGATTTTGACTTTTTAAATTTTTCTATATAGGTAAAATTTGACGAAAAAATTTTTTGTTAAAATGTTTACAGTCGACGTAAGACGTAAAATCGACGTTAGCTAATAAACTAAATTTAAATAATTATTGTATGATATATATATGATATATATACGATGATGATATATATGATATATGTATGATATATGTATGATATATATACGACTATATCTTTCTACTATATAAAAATAAGTCAGGTTTTCCTTCCAGACGCTATTCGGTTATGCATTCGTTGGAAAGGGCTCGGGCTCCGTGAGGTTTATAGCAAAAATAAATAAAAACAGAAAAGCGGAAAAATCTAAATTCACAAACAGCGTCAACTTTTTGAAATACATCTGGTGGCGAAACGGAGTTCGCCGGGTTTGCTAGTCTATACTAATATTATGAAGAGGTAAAGTTTGTAAGTTTGTATGTAGGGAGCAATCTTTGGAACCGCTGGTCGGATTGCCAAAGTTCTTTCACTGATAGACAGCTACAATGTTCCTGTATGCTATAGGCCAAAACATCACGCTACGATTATATGGAGCCGAGCAGCGGGTGAAACCGCGCGAGAGTAACTAGTGTAATATAAAAAGACGAACCAATATTGTTTGTTGACCACCTAAACCTGAACCATAGTTGTCAACTGCTCGACGTCAGCTAGGCTTGGCTTAATACCGTCACCCTTTTCCTATCAATGGAAGTCTGACATTTAGCCGACTTTGTGAAGGCTTAGTCATGTGTAACGCCCTTGGGTGTGTTAAATACATTGTTTTTATTGATATTCTTTTCTTAGTTCATAGGTCTGTAAAGGAGCATACGGATTACGGTAAGCAATCAGCGCCGCCCATGGACACTGATTATACAAAAGGAGTTACTACAACTTACAAGGGCGTTGCCGGACTGATCTCTCTTGAATATTAAGGATTTAAGGATAAGCGTTTTTTTGGGCAGACTCGAAGAACGGACGGCCAATAGACACGAAAAGTACTCGAGTGGCGACTAAAGACCGGAAAACGTAGCGTAGAGAGTCCTCTCGCTAGGTGGACCGACGACATCGTCAGTCGTGGGGAGCCAATGGATGCAGGTGGCAAGTTGTCGTTCGAAGCGAAGGACTAAGGGGAAGGCCTTTGTTAAGGAGTGGACGTCTTCCGGCTGATGATAATGATGATAATGATAGGAGACTTGTTGAAGACTCACGATTTGATAATTTTTTATTTTTGTGAGAAATGAATGACAATGACATTTATTAGGCATAAGGCATGAATGCCAATGACAACAAAAAACAAAAAATAATAAAATAAAAAACTATAAAAACAGAGTAAGTGTGGGAGAGCTCGACCGGAGTGATACCACGGCCTCACAGAAGACCGGCGTGAAACAACCACAGCGTTGTGTTTCGCCGTGTGAGTGAGGTTACCGGAGGCCCAATCCTTCTCCGCCCCCAATCCCTCCTCAATCCCTAAATCTCCAAATCCCTAAAAGGTCGGTAACGCACTCATAACTCCTCCGTTGCGGGTGTCCATGGGCGGCGCTGATTGCTTACCATCAGGTAATCCGTCTGCTCGTTTGCCGACCAATTACATAAAAAAAGAGAGATAGAAAAACCTAAAACTTATTACCAAGCTAAACTATAATACTAGAACAGGCTTATTAATGATAACATGGTCAAGGGAAGAAGATCATCAATTCCTTATCCTGTTCTGGGTGGGTCGAGAGTGACAGTTAATTCGACTGCACGGTTGGTGCGGTGCCGGGGTTGCGGGGTAAGCGCAATGAGGCACCGCGACCTCGGCCCAGAGCAGGAGAAGGAACAGGGGGGTTTTTAGTCAGTAAGAGTCTGACACTCCCTCCCGCCCGGCCCTGGGCGAAGTCATTTGATGGCGGGAGAAGTCATTTGATGATTTTCCCATCACAAAAAAAAAACGGGTGTCGCGAATTCGATTCCCGCACGGAACAACTCTTTGTGGATCACACAAAGAGTTGTTCCAGGTCTGGGTGTCATGTGTATGTGAATTTGTATATTTGTAATCGCACCCACGACACAGGAGAAAATAGTAATGTGGGGCAACGTTTTTAAAAAAAAGAAAAGAAAAAAATATTGATGCGGACGGCCATCGCTAAAAAATCAGCGCCGCGACACTGTCTCGTATCGGTCGCTGCATAATGCTGAGCGAGGGCCATTTCGCGTGTTTGGACGAATATTTTTCTTCTACCCTCTACTTTTGTTATATTGTTTCACCATGCTTTATGTTTTTTATTTTTAACTTTATTTTATTATTTATTCGTTTCCTTTCACGGAATCACAGGATCCCGGACCTTTGGAAGGCGTACGAGGAGCCGAAGCCAACTCGCAGAGGCCCGTTGAACAATTTTAATATAAATGTGATGGGACATCAGCCGGCAATTATGCCTATATGCACTACAAAAGTGCACCCAAGGACAATCCCCGGTTGATGCAGGACTATTGTGAAATGTGGTAAAAATTGATAGGGTTATGGGTATGGGTTGCTATGCACTAGTGGATGAAAACTATGGAAATACTATGGCCCCTGCCCCTGACCAATATTGATACATACGGATAAACAGGCAGGGGGTGACTGGCAAACTCAATTAATGGGCCCCCGGAAACGGCCGCTAGCATGTAGCGACACGGAGGCAACATACGTTGAGCTGCTTGGGGAAGGAGAGGCATCCCACGGCTATCAGAGCAATCCCGGAAGTACGGTCAAGACCCCTACCAGCACCTTACTGAGATACATCCTTCCCCCGAGTATCCTTCAACTCCTACTCTTGCGAATCTCCACTCAAGCCAGCCAATTAAGGCAAGAATGAGGTAGGAGGGCTTGTTCTTCATCTTATTATTTATTTTATTATCTTGTTTGTTTTGAGTCTTTTATGCGTCCCAGACGCGAATAAATACTTTTTGTTTTTTGTTTTTTTATAAAGCCACCCTGTTTCTTTCTTCTGCTGAGACGAAGCCACATACATAGATATGAAGGCACCGGGGGGTTGGTACAAACATCAACAACTCGATCATCGTCTTCACAGTTCATCGCAGGGCGTAGGATTTTATAATCAGACCGAATAGATTACAAATATAACGGTCGTCGGCGATCCGTCTCCTATGACAGTCACAGCGCTCGCTCTCCACCATAATGCGCACGCAGAACTGTCAGTTTGACGTTCCACCAGAGTACGATTCATTGTACCCTCGTCCGATGAATTGTGATAAAACCTCCTTCAAAATTCAATTTAAATAATCGACGCGCCGTCTGATAGGTTATAATCTAGAATAGCATACAGGCTACTTTTGGTAGCCTGGTAATGTGATTAATAATTTGTTCTTTATATTTACTTGCATTGTGATTTTCGAATAGCCAATAGTTTTGGTATTTGCATCGTAGCCCGGATAGCTCAGTCGGTAGAGCATTGGACTTTTAATCCAAGGGTCCAGGGTTCAAGTCCCTGTCCGGGCGATTTTTTTGAGAATGATAGTTTTTATGAAATAAGGTTTCATAAAAACTTTGTTTGATCTGTTGAAAGTTAGAAGAGTCACGTGCCAATTTAAGAACTTTGTTTTGTTCATGGTATCGACATTTATTTATTTTTAATTAATAATCATTATTACTAATTATCACCCGATGATTGGCTTCTTTGACCATTTAGCTAATAAGGTCGGCACGACCGGAGTCATACCACGACCTCACAGAAAACCGGCGTGAAACAACCACAGCGTTGTGTTTCGCCGTGTGAGTGAGGTTACCGGAGGCCCTCCCTCAATCCCTAAATATCCAAAAACCCTAATCCCTAAAAGGTCCGCAATGCACTCGTAACAATTGCTTACCATCAGGTAATAATTCTGCTCGTTTGTCAACCTATTATATAAAAAAAAGGGTCTGACACTCTCTCTCACCTGACCCCTGAGCGAGATAATTTATGACTAATTATCATTAACCTGCGGCTTTGCACGCGGGTAATACATCCCATGATTTTAAAAACAGCAGCGTTTAAAGCGATAGCTCGACTAAAATACATAGGTAAAACAGATTTATAACCTTATATCAGTGAAAGAATTTTGGAAATACGATCAGCAGTTCCAAGGATTACCCCCTACGTAGAAACTTACAAAACCTATTCATTGTATTAGTATATTTATGAATAACTAGCTACTCCCGCGCGGTTTCACTCGCTGCTCGGCTCCATTTAATCGTAGCGTGATGATTTATAGCCTATAGCATTCAAAAACATTGGACCTATTTATCAGCGAAAGAATTTTGGCAATCCGACCAGCGGTTCCAAAGATTACCATCTACATACAAACATACAAATTTTACCTCTTTATAATATTAACCCTTGGTTTCCGAAAGGCCGATCAATGTTAAAATCAATTTAGTCTCTTGTCAAGTCATCTGATTGGTTGACTGAATTATCAACAACCAATCAGACGACTTGACAAGAGATTTAACAGGAGATTAGTTAATTTTAGCGTTGACAAGCCTTTCAGAAACCGGGTGTCAGTACCTATAGATATAG